CTATGATTCTATGATTCTATGATTCTAAAGGTAGCCCCACGTAGAGCGCATTGCAGTAGTCCAAGCGGGAGATAACCAGAGCATGCACCACTCTGGCGAGACAGTCCATGGGCAGGTAGGGTCTCAGCCTACGTACCAGATGGAGCTGGTAAACAGCTGCCCTGGACACAGATTTGACCTGTGCCTCCATGGACAGCTGTGAGTCCAAAATGACTCCCAGGCTGCACACCTGGTCCTTCAGGGGCACCGTTACCAAAATCAGGACCAGGGAATCCTCCACACCTGCCCGCCTCCTGTCCCCCAAAAACAGTACTTCTGTCTTGTCAGGATTCAACCTCAATCTGTTAGCCGCCATCCATCCTCCAACCGCCTCCAGACACTCACACAGGACCTTCACCGCCTTCACTGGTTCTGATTTAAAAGAGAGGTAGAGCTGGGTATCATCCGCATACTGATGAACACCCAGCCCAAACCTCCTGATGATCTCTCCCAGCGGCTGCATGTAGATGTTGAAAAGCATGGGGGAGAGGACAGAACCCTGAGGCACCCCACAAGTGAGAGCCCAGGGGTCTGAACACTCATTCCCCACCACCACTTTCTGAACACGGGCCAGGAGGAAGGAGTGGAACCACTGTATAACAGTGCCCCCAGCTCCCAGCCCCTCAAGACGGTCCAGAAGGATGCTATGGTCGATGGTATCAAACGCCGCTGAGAGATTCAGCAGAACTAGGAAACAGCTCTCACCTTTGTCCCTAGCCCGCCGGAGATCATCAACCAGTGCGACCAAGGCAGTTTCAGTCCCATGATGAGGCCTGAATCCCGACTGGAAGGGATCCAAATGGTCTGCTTCTTCCAGGCGTGCCTGGAGTTGTTCAGCAACCACTCGCTCAGTTACTTTGCCCAAGAATGGAAGATTTGAGACTGGGCGATAATTGGCCATCGTGGCCGCATCTAAAGATGGTTTTTTAAGAAGCGGTTTAATAACCGCCTCTTTCAGCAGGTCTGGGAAGGCTCCCTCACGGAGGGAAGCATTCACCACCTCACGAAGCCCATCGCCCAGTCCTTCCCGGCTAGCTTTTATAAGCCAGGATGGGCAAGGATCAAGGAGACAAGTGGTTGGTTTCACTCATCCAAGCAGCCTGTCCACATCCTGGGGGGTAACAGACTGGATTTGATCCCACACAACTTGACTAGACAGGACTCTAGCACTCTCCCGCCCTGGCCCTGCTCCCACGGTGGAGTCTACTTCTTCCCGAATCTGAGCGATTTTATCTGCAAAAAACTTTGCAAAATCATTGCAGGAGATCATGTGGCCCGTACTGGGCCCCAATGTCGCAGGTGGTTCCGCTAAATTGTGAACCACCTGAAAAAGTCTCCTGCTGCTGTTTTCTGCAGATGCAATAGAAGCGGTGAAGAAAAGGATATCTGGGCATTGGCGGAGCCAGGGGGGGGGAGCAGCTGCCCCCCTTAATCCATAAAGAAATAATAATCTGAGGTTCTGGCAAGCGAGAGAGGGCTGAGCTGGGTGGACTCGGCTTGGCAAGGGTTAAAGGGAACCGAGCTGCCTTCCTAGAGAGGCCAGGAAGCAAGGGGGGCAAGTCCTCCAGGCCAAGGCCCCTCCCTCCCCAGTCTTTTCCTGCAAGGAAGGGGGGGTGTTGCTTTGTGTCTCTGCTGCAAGGGCTGCCTCGCTGCCCCCTCCTGGGATCTGGTGAGTCTCCTCTCTCTCTCTCTGGGATCTGGTGGGGGTCCCAGGGCTGCAGCAGGGGGAGGGGGCCTGGGGGGGCCTGATCTGCTCCTGCGGGGGGGGGGCAAGTCAGGGAGGAGAGGGTCCTGCCAGGGAGGGGCCAGGTCTGCCACGCTCTCCTTCCTGCAGATCAGAGGATCCCAGACTCCCCCGAAATCTCCCTTTTTAAAACAAAGGAGTCCCTGGGAATTTAACTCTGTGTGACGTCGCTCAGCCTCATTGCACAACAGAGGAAACATCTGCAAATGGTTTTCCAAAGCTGGATGGGGAGGTGGACTAGCCCCCCCCCCCAAAAAAAAGGTGGGAGAGAAAGGCCAGGAATAAAGAGAGGGATCCCAGCCCAGAGTCTGGCTGCTGCATTGGGGACCAGTTTCCCAGTGTCTCCCAGGGCAGCTCCCCACGGAGGCCACTGCAGCAATCCCCTCGCACCCAGAGCAGGGCATACCAGGACCACATCCTCTCTCTCCCAAAGGGATTGTTGATGGCAAAGCAGCCAGAAATGGGCGCTGCTACTCAGCAAGCCTCCAGGGACTTTGGCATCAATGGCTGTGTGTGTGTTAAGCTATCTAGCAGAATAATAATAATAATAGTAACAATAATAATAAATTACCCAGCTAAATATCAAGGTAGATGTCTTTGGCCTGCTCACTTGGCCCTCAGGGGGTTGATCAGATACATACCTGGCCCTCAGAGCAAAGAAAAAGGGACCCCACCCCAGGAGTCTGTCTTGAGAGCAGGAAAGAGTCCAAGTGCAAGAAAAGGAGACAGAAGCAGGGGAGTGGGGGTGGGGGGAGCAACCCATGAGGACCCCCGGGGTGAGGACCCCCACTAGAGCCAAGTATCCATTTTCCACAAGATACAAATGACTCCCTTGTCAGTCAGTTCTGACTTCATGCATTGACTGGAAGGCAGCAGAAACCAGGCTGATTCTTCTCCCAGAAATCCCTTCCGTTGCCTCCACATTTTGCATTGCTAGAAGGCTAGAGACATATTTCTTCTCCTCCTACTCTTCTTTCCCCCCAAAAAAGATAGCTCATGGACTGGAATGCGGTGCAGTCCAGCCCTAGTTCCCAGCAAGACTCATCCATGCTTGCTCAGGAAATCTTTTTCTTCTCCTGACCTACAAATTCTGTAACAGAACAATGTATTTGCTTTGTAGGATTTGCTGCAGCTTCTCATTTAGACGGGCAGAACTTGGCAGAAGACCAAAGGGTTCCTTCCGATCTCTCAGAGGCTTCCTGAGAGCACAGATGGATGAGCAAGACTCAGCTGGCCCTAAAGCAGGAAGAGGCCATGCCAACCAAACTGGGAGCAGCGGGGGGTTCTGGGAAAACTCTGTGCAGAAGATCCTGGGTGAGGAGGACACCCTCCGCTCAGAGGTGCAGAGCCAGCAGGTGAGGCAGTTCTGCTGCCAGGAGGCCAAAGGACCCCGAGAGGTTTGCAGCCGACTCTACCACCTTGACCTTCAGTGGCTGAAGCCAGAAAGGCACACGAAAGCTGAGATGCTGGACCTGGTGATCTTGGAGCAGTTCCTGGCTGTCCTTCCACCGGAGATGGAGAACTGGGTGAGGGAATGCGGAGCGGAGACCAGTTCCCAGGCGGTGGCCCTGGCCGAAGGTTTCCTCCTGAGTCAGGCAGAGGAGAGAAAGCAGGTGAGAGAGACTTTCCTCTGGATACTCCAAAGGGGCTCCAAACAGGATGGAGAACATCCCATAATGCTCTACTGTTGGCCCATCCGTTTTCTGGGAAGGCATCCATGGAATGAGATCTAACACCCTGAATGTTTTTGACTTTGTCATTCTTTTACTAATATTTCTCCCCATTCTCTGTTTTGAATCCTTGTTTCTTTTTCAGGGAAGGGATCTCTTTGCAGAAATGGACCTGGATTCCTGTGAGGCAGAGAGGCCTCCATTGGACACCAGAGAGAGGCCACTGGGTAAGGAGGAAGGTGGTTTTTCTCCACTGGTGTCATTCTGTTGGTTTTCCAACTCATCTGAGGGGTTTTTGTCACGGCTAAAAATTGGCAGCTGTTTCTTTAATGCTTAAAAAGCTGGGTCAGCATGAGTCAGCGGCCTGCACCGGGTTGTATATATAGAGTGAGAAATGTTCGTTTGGTTTGGGTTGGTTGGTTGGTGAAAGCTGGTAGTGTTGATGTGTGTACAGTTGGTCAGTCGCTTTTGTGTAAAGTTGGTCAGTCACTTTTGCAGAAAGGCTTTTAAGGATAAAAGCAGAAAGCACTCTGCAAGGATACTCTTTTTGTGGACTCTTTTATGCCAACAAGGGTCCAAGGACCAGGCTGAGGCAACAAAGGGAGGTCAGAACATTTATTTTTTTTCAAACACTGACAGGTTATGGGCCCAGTGTTTCTGAGCTTGTGCAGAGTGCAAAACGACTGACAGCATCTGAGCAGGGAGCTGGTGAGTCCTGGTGGTGTATGGAGCCAGTGGCTGTGCGTTGGAGCAGTTGGTGGCAAGCTGTAACTGTCTGCAGTGACGCTGGGGCAGCTAGGATCTGAGGATCAGGAAAGCACTCAGCATCAGCTACTGGAACAGTCTGAACTCCTAGAGGACCACAGTAGGCGACTCACAGAGCAGCTACACCAGTACTCTGCAAGGATACTCTTCTCGGGGACTCTTTTATGCCAACAGAACCTTTTCTTTTTTTAATACAAACACTGATATTCTTTTCATCTTGTTTTGCGGGGAGAAAGTTGGGAACAAGGGTCCAGAGGAGGGGAGATGGGTTTTTGCACATCTAACATATGAAATGGGCACAAACCTCCAAATGCTCTCAGCAAGTATGGCTTTCTGAAAGGCCCATCTATAGTTAGAGATGCCCTGTTTCCCCTGTGAGAGAAGCAGGCACTCCTGGCGTCCTGTTTACATTTTTTCTCTTGCAGGTGACAGAATGATGCCAGCAAAACCTCCTGATCCACCTTTTCATGGGGGCAGAAGGGAAGCAGCGGCTGTGGAACCAGATCAGGTCAGGGGAAGCTGCCTTGTGGGAACAGAGGCCGAGGGATGGAGCAATGTCATGGACTGGTTGGGCACAGAGGAATGGTGGGAAGAAGCAGCCGGGGAACCAGGAAGGGAAGACATCTTAGAGACCAAGGAGTGGAGGTGGAGGAAGGATGAGTGATCAGAGGGAGAAGCCTGGGAAGAGGAGATGTCAGAAGCTGAAGGGGAAACAGGGCTTAGTGAGCTGGGAGACTCTGTGGCAGAATGCAGTGCAGAATCAGAGGCAGAAGAGGAAGGAGGCGAGTGGGAGAGGAAAGTCGAGAGGCAGAGGTGAGTCAGCAGAAGGAGGAGCCATCGGTGGCTCCCTCTCCTTCTGCCAGAAGCCACCCTCCCTGCTTGTCTCTCAGAGCCAGGAAACCCCCTGCGTTGCAGGAATCTCTGCTAGATTATGCAAACTGACAGACCCTCTGGGAATGAGCTGCTGTTCTCATGAGGCCCGAAACTCAGCCAAGTCTGTGAATATCGTGTTCTTTCTAAGAAAGTGTGAACTCCAGCTGTGTACTGTGGGATTTCCTACCCCTAGAACTCTGACACCAGCCTTCTGAATTTCGCCAGTAGGATTCATCCGTAGTTGCATTTTCATGGAATCCTACAGTTGAAAGTGACCCCAAGGGTCATCAAGTCCAACCCCCTGTGTTGCTAGATCATCCAAGACAGATGTCCATCCAAAATAGGCTTATCTTATTTCTAGACTGATCACTGAATACAAAAATTGGTTTCTAAGCAGTGGACAAATGAGAAGAAATAGTGGCCTGGATTCACCTAACCAGCCCCATCCACTGCAAAATGGGGCCTGCCCCCCATTTCTCCCCTCCCCCTCTCCATGCCCCCATGAACCCCTTGAATTTGGCTCTAGGGCATTGGGAGGGAACCTTCCCAGAACAGCTCACAAGGAGAGGAGAAAGTGGATCCTTTCATTGGGGAAACTGGAATGCTTGCGTAGGCAGAATGACTTGGAAAACACAAGGTGGGGTACCACCTATTTGCACAAAGACGGATACCCATAATTAAAAGGCAGAATAAAATAAGCATCCATAAATAAATTGTGCAGTTAGCAATCCTATTGAAACAACACCACAATTTACAGGAAGGAAACAACAGAGCATTGTGTAGCAGATCATATTTCTGCTGTCTCAGAGGAGGACATTTCCCTTTTTCTTTTAGGGTCCAGTCTGCTTTGAAGATGTGGCCGTTCGTTTCACGGACGAGGAGTGGGCGTACCTGGATTCTGACCAGAGAGCTCTGCATAAGGACGTCATGGAGGAGAATTGTGGGATCGTGGCCTCTCTTGATAAGGCTCCCTGTGGGATCATCATATCAGCCTGGAAATTCACAGAGCTCAACAGTGCCCCCTACAACCCCTGGGAACCTAACACCCCCACAATAAACAGTAAGTTACAGTTTTTTCTTTGAACAATCATCCTCAAATTATTCCTTTTTCTACCACGACCGGGCTGGTCTGAACTGCCCAGGCCATCTTCAATGTCAGCTTCAGAATTGTTAGGAAAGATAAGTTGTGAGCTTTAGAGCTTACAGGGTTAACAGCTCAGAATGTCCTGCATCTGGGGAGGAGCTTTCTCAACATCCGGGAAAGCTGTTTCTTCGTTCTTTCTGACTTTCGTTTTCTGCTGAGACATGGAAGACGCAACGTCTGCATCTTCCTTTTTTTTTTTTTTTTATAAAATTTTTATTGGTTTTACAGATTTTTTAAACACAAACAAACACATAAAAAACCAACAAACACGTATAATTTCATAGCATTTTTTCATAAACTTCTTTTCCGGGACTCCCCCATACCCCCCTTTCTGCATCCCAATGTCCAAAGTATTTTTTAGCAACTTCTAAATATACCTTTCCAACCTCTGTCATCTTAGTTATCTCTATAATCTGACCTTATATCACTGTATCCCTTTGTTCCTGAAAACCACAACACTCTAACATTCATCAAGTTTATAATAGTCCTTAAGATAACTTTTGAATTTTCTCCATTCTTCTTCCGTCTCTTTTCCTTGGTCACGGATTCTGCCTGTCATCTCGGCCAGTGTCATGTAGTCCATCACTTTCATCTGCCATTCTTCCAGAGTGGGTAGATCTTGTGTCTTCCAATACTTTGCGATGAGTATTCTTGCTGCTGTTGTGGCATACATAAAGAAAGTTCTATCCTTCTTTGACACCAATTGGCCGACAATGCCCAAGAGAAAGGCCTCTGGTTTTTTATAGAAAGTACTTATAAGTACCTTTTTCATTTCATTATAGATCAATTCCCAGAAAGCCTTAATCTTTGGGCATGTCCACCAAAGGTGATAGAAGGTACCTTCAGTCTCCTTACATTTCCAACATTTGTTATCGGGCAAGTGATAAATTTTTGCCAGCTTGACTGGGGTCATGTACCACCTGTAAACCATTTTCATAATGTTTTCCTTTAAGGCATTACATGCCGTAAATTTAATACCGGTGTTCCATAACCATTCCCAGTCAGCTGACACAATGTTATGACCCACATCCTGTGCCCATTTGATCATAGCCGATTTGACTGTTTCGTCCTGTGTATTCCATTTCAGCAACAAAAGCAACGTCTGCATCTTCCGATGGTTTATCTTGCTGTACATACAATAAAGCTTTCTAGTTTAGAGGAACAGCAGTGTATTGGACTCTGAGTTCTGCAAGCTCACACACACAAGCAGCACTCGCTGTGCCGCTCTGCTACAAGTCCAGGAAATGTGGAGCTTCAGGTTTTCTGTTTTTGTTTTTCTCCTGTCAGTCTTGGGTTGACCAAAGAAATGACTGACAATGGAGATGGAGGGGATGCCATGACTGGGCCAAACAAAATTCATCCCAGAGAAGAGCTAGACTTATTGAATCTCAGGTAGTAGTAGCACTGATGATGATGATGATGATGATGATGATGAAGATGGTTTACAAACTTAATCTTTTCCGGAACAGGACTGCTCTTAAATCGATGTACCACTGTAGTAATAATAATATTTTTTTATTTATACACTGCCCATTTGGCTGGCTTGCCCCAGCCACTCTGGACAGCTTCCAACACATATATAAACATGGCTTCCAACACATTTATAAACATGAAGCATAAATAATAATAATCTGATCCCATATAAAAAGAACATTAACTTTAAAGTGAACTTCTCCTAGTGGCCAAAATTGTGGAAACCTTTTGTGAAAAGTGTATTTCTGAGGTTTGATGGCTCATAACACCAATTTTGTGTGGAGTAGGTAAAGGTAAAGGTACCACTGCCCATATGGGCCAGTCGTGTCTGACTCTGGGGTTGCGCTCCCATCTCGCTTAAGAGGCCGGGGACCAGCACTGTCTGGAGACACTTCCGGGTCACGTGGCCAGCGTGACGAAGTTGCTCTGGTGAGCCTGCACCAGCGCAGCACACGGAAACGCCGTTTACCTTCCCGCTATAAAGCGGTACCTATTTATCTACTTGCACTTAAGGGTGCTTTTGAACTGCTAGGTGGGCAGGGGCTGGGACCGAACGACGGGAGCTCACCCCGCCGCGGGGATTCGAACCGCCGACCATGCGATCGGCAAATCCTAGGCGCTGAGGTTTTACCCACAGCGCCACCCGCGTAGTGTGGAGTAATACCATAAAATTATATATCAATGGAAGGATAATCTAATGAAGAATGTAATGAAAGAACTTTTATGAAGGAGTATTTATTAGAACAGCAGTCCTAACCATTGGCAACCTTTAGCTTTAATTACGGCCTTACAATGCCTTCCCATGATATGAACCAAGTTTTTAGTTCTGCAGCTGTAATAAAGTGAAACCAAGATTAAATTATTGCCTCTGTTAATTGGACTTTATTGCTGGGTTGCTTATGACTAACAAGTTTCTTTAGTCGGCTCCATAGATTTCTGATTGGGTTAAAGTTTGGGCTATTCCCAGGCCATTCCGGCAGTGGAATATCTTTATCTTGAAAGCACCTTTTGCACACAGCAGCAACATGACATGGAGCGGAATCCTGTTGAAATGGAAAATAGAATATATATGTGTGTGTGGAATGTTTCCAAGGGGTTGCTTGAGAGCAAGCAGCCAAATATCTCCCTGCTTGGCTGTGAAGCCTTGCTTTTCCTGCCAAAATAAACCTTATCCGTCCGGAGTGCCACTCTCCCGTGGCTGACTCAGTCGCTGGCAGAATCCGTGAGTGGGCGGTTCCTAAACTTTCCCCAGCAAAGCAGCTTCTTGTTTGTTTTTTTTATAAATAATGTTTATTAATTTTCCAGCATACATTTATAATATCCAATCTAAATTTATCACATATTTTCTCTTTTGGAATTCCTTCAGCCTCTCTAACAATCATCCATTATTCAATTTTTTAATTACACATTTCCTAATTTTTATATTGCATTTTATATACCTTCACCCTCTTATTTTTCTTCAACACAATATTCCTCAAATATTCACAGAGATTCTTGAAATCCCACTAGCGTTGTTTGCTCATCACATATACATTTCAAATAATCTGAAAATTTCCCCCAATCTTCGATGAACTTTTGGTCACGTAGATATCTGATCTTCCCCGTTAGTTTATCTAATTCTGCATAGTCCATCAGTTTCATTCTCCATTCTTCTAACATCGGTAGTTGATCCTGTTTCCATTTTTGGGCGAGTAGTATTCTCGCTGCAGTTACTGTGTATTGGAAAAGTTTACAGTCCTTTCTATTTATCTCATTTCCTACTATTCCTAAAAGAAAGGCCTCTGGTTTCTTAACAAATGCATATTTCAACATCTTTTTCAACTCATTATATATCAATTCCCAGAAACCCTTCACCTTCTTACAATCCCACCACATATGATAAAATGTTTCCCCTTTTTCTTTACATTTCCAACACTTATTACAGTGGTGCCCCGCAAGACGAACGCCTCGCAAAGCGGAAAATGCGCTAGACGAAAGGGTTTTCTGTTTTGGAGGCGCTTCGCAAAACGAATTTCCCTATGGGCTTGCTTTGCAAGACGAAAATGTCTTGCGAGTTCCTGCGGGTTTTTTTTCCCTTCCCCCCCTTTTCCTAAACCGTTAAGCCGATTATCAGCTGATCTGCTGATAAGCCACTTAACAGCTGATTGCTAAAAGCCGCTAAACCGCTAATAGCGCTAATCCGCTAAGTTGTCAATGGGCTTGCTTCGCAAGATGAAAAAACCGCTATATGAAGAGCCTCACGGAACGGATTAATTTCATCTTGCGAGGCACCACTGTACATGTTTTATACATTTTTGCCAATTTTACGGGTGTAATATACCATCTATAAACCATTTTCATAGCATTTTCCTTTAACGCTGTGCATGCCGTAAATTTTATATTTTCATTCCATAATTTTATCGTCATTGAACTGTATATTATGACCCAAATCTCTGGCCCAGTGTATCATAACCGATTTAACTTCCTCATCTTTTGTGTACCATTCCAGCACCATTTTATACATTTTTAGATAAAATTTTGTATTCATTATTTATTATTTCCTTTTGAAATTTTGATTCTTTTTCATCAAAACCTCTTTCTTTAAACTGCTTTTTAAACATTTCATTAACCTGATGATAATGCAACCAGTCATATGCGTGCTCCTTCACTTCTTCATAAGGATTCATTTTCCATTTTCCTCCTTCTTTTACTATCAGTTCTTTATATGTAATCCAGTTCCCCCTCATATTGACTTTCTTAAGACTCATAACCTCTAACGGAGATAGCCAGTGGGGAATTCTTGGTTCTAATATACTTTTATACCTCTCCCATATTTCTATGAGAGATCTTCTAAAGATGTGGTTTTCGAAACCTTATGGATTTTTTTCTTCTCACGCCATAAATATGCGTGCCAGCCAAATCTGTTATCAAAACCTTCTAAATCTAGCAAATCAGTTTTTTTTAACTTTATCCATTCCTTCAACCAACAGAGACATGAAGCTTCATAATATAATTTCAAGTCTGGCAGGGCGAAGCCTCCTCTTTCTTTCGCATCCGTTAATAACTTAAACTGAATTCTAGGCTTCTTACCCTGCCAGATATATCTTGAAACTGCTCTTTGCCATTCTTTAAAAATCACTGTCCCCTTGATTGTTGGAATTGTCTGAAACAAAAACAACATCTTTGGCAGCACGCGCATCTTAATCGTTGAAATTCTCTCCCATAAAGATAACTTCATTCGACCCCACACCTCTAGATCTTTCTTTATTCCCTTCCACACTGGCTCATAGTTGTTCTGAAACAAATCAATATTCTTGAGGGTTAACCAGATTCCCAAATATTT